ATTTTTTTTTTGGCCCGACCCGGGATTCGAACCCGGGACCTCATGATCAGCAGTCGCACTACTACAACCACAACACCAACGAGGCAGGCAGTATAAGGTACGCAACCCTCGTCGACACACTCTCAATCTTTACAACGTTGTTAACGAGAGACTTGTGGACGATAAATCCGACACCTCCTTGGGACAGATGGTCGCCCTCCCGGTAATAGAACAAGTTGCCGGATTCGAGGATTACCGTTTCCTCCCCCTCTCTTCGGACTTCGGATAATCCTATAATATGCCAGCGTAAATTGTCTATATCTTCTTCCAGCTCCACAATCTTCTCGTCAGTCCTCAGGGTGCTTGCGTTGTATGTTGCCAGGTCGAGTCGTCGTAGGTGGCAACCGAACCTCCACCGGAGATTCTTAGCACCCCCTGGCCCGCCGTTTCCATGGTCGCAATCGTAGCCAGGAATAGCGCGGCCGCTGGGGACTGGAGGCCGTCTCTTTGTTGCTCTCATCATTGGGGGGTATTTTCCATAGTGTCCACGCTTGGCGAGCGGGTTGGCAACCGCAGCTTTTTATTGTGTTTTTGCTGTTATCAGGAAGATGCTGCTGCCCATCTTCTGCCTGTATCCCTTTGTCGCCTTTTACGACGGGAAGATACGGGGTAGTGGGTATTCTTAACCGCCACTACACGGCATTTTTCCATTTATTTTCATAAAAGAGCACCTTGGAAAAAACCTTCCTGGATATCGAAAGGTATAAGAATATGTGCAAAAGAAAAGAAATTTACTTTGGCAATATAGAAAACATCCGACTACACACAACAGATACCCCAAAGATATCGCAGAGTTATTTAACAATTACTTCATAAGTGGAAATGACAGTAATCTAATAACAATTAATGTTAACTCCAAAGTACCGAAAACTTATAACGCATTATTTATGAACCCAACGACGTCTTTCTTAGTTCATTTTACTTAGTTATTTTATTTTTATTTATGTTTTATTCTTTTTTCTTACTTCTTTCTTTTTCGAAATTAATAATATAGTTAATTCATTAAAGAATACAAATAGCACAGGTTATGATGACGTTAGCACAAAGGTATTAAAAATGTATCAACCATCCGTTTTATCCTACATCGTAAATTTAAGTATAGCCTCTGGAATATTCCCAAATAAATTTAAAAAAAAAAACGGTAGTTCAACCTGTATTTAAGAAAAATGACAAGAGTGATGTTGCAAATTATAGACCCATAACACTCATACCGATATTCTCTAAAATTTTTGAAAAGGTAATAAGTCAAAAACTTAATGATTTCTTTGAAAAATATAAAATTTTCACAAGTCGGATTTCGAAAGAATAAAAGTATAAATTTAGCTGTCTTTCAATTTCTGTGTACTGGAATGACAAGCCTTAATAATAAGCACTTAGTATCTGCTCTATATATGGATTTAACTAAAACTTTTGACTATGTTAATCACAATATCCTCTTAAGTAAATTAGAAGCATACGGAGTCCGAGGAAATGTCCTCAATCTCCTAAAAACATACTTAATAAATCGACAACAATGTACACGAATTACGCTCAAAAACGTATAGACAAATAGTTCATTCATCGTCATATCGTGAAGTAACCCAAGGAGTACCCCAGGAAAGTATTCTTGGTCCATCATTATTCCTTGTTTATATAAACGATTTACCGAATTAAATCAAGATATGATACTATTTGCAGACGATAGCAGTGATGTTTACAAGCACAAACAAAAATCAAATGATATCTGACATAAATCAAACACTGGACATAATAATTCAATAGTAATCAAATAATAATTTATTAATTAATCTAAATAAAACAAATCTAATGACACTCAAAAATATGGAAAATAATTTAATAAATCTTAATATATGCTACAATGGACAACAAATTAATGTAGACGAAAATGCAAAATTTTTAGGCCTCAGTCTCGATTCAAACTTAAAATGGAAATCTCAAGTGGAAGATACTAAACTCAACCAGTTCTCTTATGATCTGTATAGACTTGGAACAATTGTGAATCAATCTGCCATCATCACTGCGTACCACGGTTATGTAGAATCAGTGTTAAGGTATGGTGTCATCTTTTGGGGTAACTCTGTAGACAATGAAATGATATATAGAGCCCAAAAGAGATGTGTAAGGGCCATTGTGAAGTTAAAACAGACGGATAGTTGTAAACCATTTTTTATTAGTCTGAAACAGTTAACACTTCCATGTATGAGGTAACCGTTTTTGTTATTACGCATATTTTTTTATTTGAGTTCCTACACATTAAACGTAATAATCACAAAATATGTTTTTCATCAAACAAAACATTCCAATTTAACAACAGTATATTTTGTATGGCCCCTCGAATATATAACCATTTACCGTTACACGTTTTGAGATGCTCCAATATAGATAAGTATAAAATACTATTGAAGCAATTTCTTATTAATACCTCAGTGTGAAAGAATTTCTCGAAGACAAATATGAAATTCAATAATTGATTGTTACATGACTCAGAATAACTAAATTGACTTGACTTATATAATATTATCTAAATTGACTTATCGCTATTATTTTTGATTTTGTATCATGTGAACTCCAATTATAACTAGAGTATGTTTAAGTAATTTAATATAAAATAATAAAATGTGATGGACATTGCATTCCAAATGGCGGAATATAGCTGTACTAAATGTTTGTTCTATAAGTGATAAGCTACGTAAACACCAACTGTACTCGTATCAACCTATATTCGCAATAAACGATTTGAATTTGAATTTGTACATAGGCCTACTTCACAGACTGCCCTTAGCGGGGAAATTTGCCTTTTTTAGTGGAGTTTTGCAGGCAGGTTGGCAACCGCAGTTTTGGAACGAAGTTCGTTATCGGACGGTACGGGATTGGCGAATGGGAACAGGAAGATGTTGCACAAAAATTCAAACCTGTAACTCGAATTTTTTAAGTCCCAGTAAGAATTCTCGGCCAAATAATTCTAGTATATACTTTCAAAAAGCAACCCCTGACAAGGTTAATAAAATAATCAAAAAACTTAGCTCTAAAAACGCACCAGGATCTGATAATATTGGGGTTTCTGATATAAAATGTACTCGTATGGACACAGAAGGGGCCTCGGCCATTACCAACCTAATTAATACAAGTGTTGAAACTGGCATTTATCCCGACTAAATAAAGATAGGATGTGTTAGACCAATATACAAGAAAGGAAGACGGGATGATTTCCTGAACTATCGACCAATCACCTTATTATCTTCAATTAACAAAATTGTAGAAAAGTATGTGTGTGAACAAATTTATAAATTCTACAACACGCACGATGTAATATATGAAAATCAGTTTGGTTTTCAAGCTGGGAAGGGTTCAAATGATCTTTTGATGAAGTTAACAGATGAAATTAACGAGTATCTAAATAACAAAACCATGTATTCGTCCTATTTATTGACTTTTCACGGGCATTCTACACTCTTGATCATAAAAAAATCATCACTAATTTAGACGATTGTGGAATACGGGGACCTCTTCTGAAATGGTGTACAAATTATCTCAAAAATAGGAAATTCTCTGTAAGAATAAATGACACACACAGCGACTCAGTGACTGTAACTGAAGGCACAGCACAGGGATCTGTGCTTGGCCCCCTCCAATTTCTATCATATGTAAACGACATGAATTTTTACATAAATCACTGTTCATGCTACCAGTTTGCTGATGACACATGTTTGCTAGTCGCCGATAAAGACCCTGATATAGCATGTGACCTGTTACAGTCTGACTTTAATATGCTTGCAAAATGGTATCATGACGCCGGATTTGTTCTGAACTCCTCTAAAACCAAGCTGTTACACATAAAGTCTCCTTATATCAAGTGTACTTTATCCAAGTACATTGTTGGTCACAATCATAATTGCCTTCACTCGTCTTGTAAAAACACTTGCAGTTGCCCCTCTACAGATCTCGTCAATACCCAGACATATCTCGGAATGCAGATCGATAGTAAGTTTACTTGGCATAACCACATCGAGTGTGTTTGTAACAAGTTAAGATTTTCTTAGCTAATATTATAATACTGAAGAACAGAATTCCTTTCCCAGTTAAGATGATATTATATAACTCTCTGGCAGAATCTTATATACAGTATGGTTTAGGTAGCTATGGTCGTACATTTAATACTTATTTAAAAAATATATAAGCTCCAGATAAGAATCCTTAAAAACATTGTAACAGACAAAATTCGACGTCAATTTCATGATGACGATAGTATGCTCTTTAAGCACTGCAATATACTACCAGTTCATACACAAGTCAAATATTTACTTTAAAAAAAAAACACTTTTTTAATGAAGAGTTAAAATTAGAAATTAAGCACCCCGTGTGTACACGCGCCGTAAGCAGCCGCAAGCTGCAGACGAGCCAGGCAAACAATATGTACGGGGAACGAACGGCAAGTTACATTGTTCCACGACCTATAAACAACCTACCCCCAGATTCCCGCGATAACTTAAATATAAAAAACATTTAAAAAAAACTTAAAATGTACTTTTTGAGTAATTTATAAAAAAAATTACTACTTAAAACAGCGTATATGCGTATGCTCAAGTCCTAATTAGGCTGTAATGTCTCCTTTTTACAAACTATAATAATTATACTTAATGTAACGTCGACTCTGATCGCGTCATCACTAACCTTAGTGGTTTTCTGTATGCGACTTTTTAGTATAGTTTTTTTTTTTGTAATGATTTGTAATATGGTAAATAAATTTAAAAAAAAATCTGTTGCATTCCCCTAAATCCGTCTCTTACTAAATCCACAGAATGATATAGTGTATATATATTGATGATTAATACGGCGTGGATTCTCTTAGGCCGCCTCTAAACGGCAATAAAAAGATAAGTTCCTCTTATATATCATATGTTATCTCCCTGATGCCTTCACTCGTATTTTGGTAACCCATACAACCTATTCTATCTATTACGATGGATATGGAGGCGGAGCTTGACATGTTAGGAATTTGCAAGCCTGTACTCCGTACTGATGACGACTGGTCGGATTCTGATAGTGTGGCAAGTGGTGGAAGCAGGAGGTCAAGCATTTTACCGCCCGCATATAAACGGGCTGGAATTTCAATGGACCTTGCAACACAACGCGCCAATGAGTTCTTGCTTTCAGGCAAAGAAGCATTAGAGAAAGCGGGAAAGATGAAGCGCGAGTGTAAACAGGAAGTTCACGATTGCCTTCAAGGACTTTATGAAACGGTGTTATCGCTCTCGGACTCACGCTCTCGACACCGGCTCGCATTAGAACAAGAGCGTAGTCGAGCAGCAAAAGAACTGGTAAGATTCGAGAGAGCACATAACAAACAAATCTCAGACCTGCAATCCTTACAGCTTCAAAAGTTCAGGGACATCCAACAAGTCATCCAAGAAACTCAAAAATCCGTAGAGTCAATAAGGGGATGGCTTAACTATGAAATGGATGACCCTATTAAGGCTATCTACCAAATTCGACAGGATATTAGTGGAATATCCACTAGAAGTACTAATGAAACCCCCAATTATACCACTGTTAATCGAGAAACTTTACCCATCGAGAACACAATGGTATTTACGAATCAGATAAGGGAGGTGATTGAACAAATAAAAGTGCTTAGCCGTAATATTGGTGACCTTAGGGATAAAATGGCAGATAAGGAAAGTATTAGGAGCATTACTTTGGCAATGGATGAGTTAAAAGGGCCACAAATAGACCCTAATGTCAACAATATCAAAGTAATTAAAAACATGATTCAAGAGTTGCAAACAAGACCACAGTGCTCCAAATCTTCACAGGTAATATCGGCAGACGACATATTAACAGCTGTAGAACCTTTGACATTAAAAGTTGATAAACTGTCGAATGAAATAAGGAACTAGTCAGTGGGCATACCAAAACAACTCTGGTCTAGGCACAGAGCTTGCAATAGCAGAAATCAAGGAAAAACTAGAGCACTTAGAAGCATGTAATAATAGCTCTATGATGATGAACAAAACCACTGATAACCTAAACTACCATGCTTCTAAAGAGCAGCAAGCGGCCGGTCCAAAAAGATCTTATGCTGAAGTTCTCACTAACCCTACCTTTTCTCTCGTAATAGAATCTTCTGACCCACGGCATACAAGTGAGGGTGTTGTTAGTGCTATTAAGACTAATGTTGATGTGGTGCAATTGGGAGTGGGAGTCAATAAAGTTAGAAGAGCCAGAAACCAGAAGGTAGTTATTACGTGTGACACAGACGAAGACCGTAACACATTACAAAGGGCGATAAAAAATTCAGATAAAAAGCTTACAGTGTCTAAGTCAATCACAAAAAAACCCCTATTAAAATTAATAGGAGTAACAAATGACTTAAGTAATGCAAAGTTAGAAGAAGCACTATTTAAGCAAAATGCTAAGTTGTTAAAAGACGTGGAAAAGGAAAAAACTAAAATTAAAGTCTTAAGACGAATCAAGGGCCGCACATCAGCAGTCAATAATATCATAATGGAGGTAAGCCCTAATGTCTGGAAAGCATTTAAAGGTCAAAAAGTGCACGTTGGCTATCAAATAGTTCCAGCCATTGACCAGTCACCAGTAATCCAATGCTACCGATGCATGGGATTTGGTCACAGAGCGAAAGAATGCGTGGCAGACAAACAAACTTGTGGTTACTGTGCGGAGGATCATGACAGTAGGGAATGTTTACGCAGCAACGGAGCACCATCTTGTGTGAACTGTGTCAGAAACAAAATTAAGGGGGACTATTGCCATACAGCATACAGTGCCGATTGCCCAATATGGCAGAAATGGGATAGAATAGCAAGATCCTTAGTAGCATATTGCTAAAGTTGAACAGGCAATAAATATTGATCAACCACAGTTGATTCTGACCACACCACATAATATACCTATCACACAAAGCACAATCCCAAGTGAATCACAAGCCATCAAATTCGTACAAGTTAATCTTGGACGAGGGATGGCGGCCTACAAAGAATCACTACAAATGGCGGTTAAGCAACGTATTGCATTTCTTTTACTTCAAGAACCATACGTTGGTTCTAAAGCTCATGTTACCTGTAACCGTCGCGTAATACAAAAAGTCTCTAATAGCGTTGACAAGCCAGTTAAATCAGCAGTCATCGTTGTTAATCCCACTTACACAATTGTAGAAAATTCGGAATATATAACCGAGAATATTGTAGGTTTTATAGCTAAAGTAGGAAAGCATAGCATAGGCATAATCAATGTATATTTGGAAAAAAATGGCAACCTGGAAGAAGACATTAGGAAGATCACGAAGATCGCTCAAGACATGAAAATGGGAAATATCATCCTGGCGGGCAACTTCAACGCAAAGAGTCCTTGGTGGGGAAGCAGAGGGGAGGACAGTAGAGGCATGCTCTTGTCAGAAATGATAGCAGAATTAGATCTGAATGTATTAAATCAAGGCAATGAACCAACATTTTATCAATACCGAGCTGGGAAACTGCATAGTAGTTTAATAGATGTGACTTGTTGCTCTTCAGCCCTCCTACACAAGTTAGAACAATGGAGAGTAGATCTGAATTTTTCTACACTCTCTGACCACCGAGCTATCCAGTTTCAGATAAACGTTGAAATAGATAAGAAAAGTGTTGCTTTCAGAAATTCTACACGTCTGTATAATACAGCTAAAGCAAAATGGCCACTGTTTAGGGACACACTAAAGGAAGGGTTACAGAAACAACAAATTACGGAAGAAAAAATCAACTCTATAAAAACAACAGAGGAATTAGAAGAAAATGTAAATAGATATATTGAACAGGTTCACATCGCATGCCAAACAGCAATTCCACTTATCTCCAAGAAGGTATATACAACTAGTACCCCTTGGTGGACTAAAGAATTAGATATTGAGAGGAAAGAAGTTATTCGACTTAGAAGAAAAATAAAATATGCAAATGAAAATCGAAAGCCCTACGTAGTTCAAGAATTTGTTACAGCTAAAGAAAAATACGTTCATAGCATAATAACAACGATGAATACGAGCTGGAAAGAACTGTGCTCAAAACAGGAAAAAGAAACAATATGGCAGAGTATCTATAGAGTTATTAGGAGATGCAGCACTACAAACGAGGACAAGCTCTTGCGTTTTGGCGAACGGACTCTGAGCCCAAATGAGTCGGCCTCTTTGTTAGCAAAAACGTTCTACCCTGATGATGACTATAATAAAGATACTGAAGAACAAAGAAACATCCGAGCGGAAGTTGATATAATAATTAGAAGCCTCAAAAATTATACAGATACTACTTATATAAAATTCACTGAAGTAGAAATAGAGATGGTATTTCAAAAAATGAATCCCAAAAAGGCTCCTGGGGAGGATGGTATGACCTCGGATATCTGTTATGAGAGCTATAAAACAACACCATCGATCCTTTTGGCTATTTATAATAAATGTCTTGAAATAGGCTATTTCCCAAAGATATGGAAAAAAGCAATCATAAAAATTATTCCGAAGCCTGGAAAAGTAGACTATACTGTACCTAAAGCATATCGTCCAATTGGCTTGTTGCCAGTATTTGGAAAAATTTTAGAAAAGCTCTTTGTAGGCAGATTACTCTGGCAGCTTGGAAGGGAAGGAAAATTCAGCAATCGACAATATGGTTTTATGCCACAACGTAGTACAGAGGACGCACTATATGACATAATGACAGTGATAAAACAAGGCATAAAAGAAAAGAAGATAGTTGTTATGGTATCCCTCGACATAGAAGGGGCTTTTGACAATGCTTGGTGGCCCCAAATAATAAAAGAAATCCAAAGGAAAAATGTGAGTATACACAACCTAAGGCTCATTACCAGCTATCTGTCTTCAAGGAGTGTTATAGTGAAATATGCAGGAGCAATAGCCACCAAACCTACAACTAAAGGATGCATACAAGGATCGACCTGTGGACCCATATTCTGGAACATCCTTCTCGACCCCCTTCTTGAATTAAGTTCAGATATGGATGTACATCTTCAGGCATTTGCTGACGATATTCTTATCATTGCAAAAGGAAACTCAGCAAAAGATGTAGAAGACAAACTTAATCCAGCTTTAGAGAAAATAGTAACATGGGGCAAAACGCACAAATTAAATTTTGCACCACATAAGACACAATCTATCGTAATAACCAAAAAGTTATCTTACGAATTACCTATAATTAAAATGGACAAAATTATTATACAACCATCTACAAGTCTAAAAGTACTTGGCGTCACCATCGATAAAAATTTAAACTTCGTAGAACATCTAGATGAAGTCCTCGGGAAGGCAATAAAAATTTACAAAATGATAGCAAGAACAGCTAAAGCTCATTGGGGACTTCATTCTGATATAGTAAAAACAATATATATAGCAGTAGTTGAACCAACCATTCTTTATGCAGCAAATGTCTGGGCTATGACGGTGAAAAAAGAATATATGAAGAAAAGACTGGAGCGCATAACAAGAATGTTCGCAATCAAAATCTGTAAAGGTCACAGAACAGTCTCTTTCACGTCTAGCGTTATACTGGCAGGAATATTCCCTCTCGACTTAAGAGCAATGGAACGACTTTCGCTCTACGAAATAAAACAAGGAAAGCCACTGGACCAACTTCCGGGAAGAGACATCGAAAAACCAATAAGTCCTTTTTGCCTACCCCATCCTGCTGAAAGATGTCGCATGTCTTTTGAGCTGATAAGCTCTCTAGATCAGGAACAAGCAATAGACTGTCTAAAGCCAAGGTTATATACGGATGGAAGCAAGCTGGAAGGGAAAGTTGGTGGCGCTGTCAGTGTATGGAAAGATGGCAGCGAAATACGTAAGTCTACCTTTCGGCTAGAAAGTTATTGTAGCGTTTATCAGGCAGAGCTTACCGCAATATTAAAAGCGTTAGATATGATGTGCAAATTCGGCGAATTGAAGAAAGGAATAATCCTAAGCGATTCACGTTCAGCTCTAGAGTGTCTAACGGACAGCTCGTCCCTTCATCCTTTGGCAGCTGAAATACGAGAGCGCATAAGATCATTAGTAAATAAAAACGGCGAGGTTAAATTTTACTGGATAAAGGCACATATCGGTATACCTGGCAATGAAAGGGCTGATGAGCTTGCCAAAAAGGCTGCACTATCCAACAAACAAGCATCAGTTTATGACAAGTGTCCGCTATCCTTCGCGAAGCGACTAACCAGGGACTCTACGTGCGTGAAGTGGCAGCAACGATATAGCGAAGCAGCAACAGGAGCAGTCACGAAAAATTTCTTCCCTGACGTAAGAGAAGCTCACAAGACACTGAAACAGATAAGAATGGACAATATTAAAGCTCAATTATTAACTGGTCATGGAGGATTTAAGGCTTATTTGTTTAAGTTCAAGTTGGCGCAATCCCCATCTTGTGTTTGCAGTAATGAAATAGAAGAAAAAATTGAACATCTGCTAATAGATTGTCCTAGATTCACTATTCAAAGAATGGAATGCGAGCATAAGATGGGAATCGCAATCAATATAACAAATTTAAAGTATGTAATTAACAATGATGACTGCCGTATCCATTTTCTTAAATATGCAGAATATGTCGTTAGGTGTGCAGGAAAAGCAAATGGATCGAAAGTAGATATTTAATTATAAAAATGTAGATTAATAATTATATAATATTAAATGTGGTAGATATTAATAATAAATGTAGATGAGCAATTAATAAAAACATATAGAGCAATAAATACTTTTTATTGTATAATATAGTATAGGAAATGGTTGTAAATAGTACTTGCTGTAATAGTATTCCATAACAACATAATAATATGTATAATATATAGCCAAGGAAAATTAATATATAAAAAAAATAAAAAAAAAATGGAAGGAAAGAAAAAAAAACAGAAATTCATAAGAAAAGCATTGGCAATAAAAACAAAAAAAAAATGCTACATAGAGAAAAGAAAAGAAATATAAAAGGAAAAAGGCAAAAAAAAAAAACAAAAAAAAAATAAAAAAAAAAGAAAGAAAATATAACAAAATATGTTAGATATAGATGTATATTATATTACATAACGGGTGGCGCACTTAATAACTTAATTTAACTTAATTTAAGTACCATATTTTATATAACTTAATTAATAATTGTAAGAATACATACATAAGAATACATACAATTGTAAACAGTAAAAGATAAGGATAAAAAAAAGAAAGCAAAAGTAGTTAAATCTTAAGTTAGGAAGTATATAAGAGTTAGTAGGATATAAGTAATAAGCATATTTAAAGTTATGTTAAAAAAAAAATAAAAAAAAATAAAAAAAAAATAAAAAAAATAAAAAAAAAGGATATATAAGTATACGAAATAAACAACGATAGTGAAAAATGGTGCTGCATGTATAGCAGCAGTAACAGAGAATTTAAAAAAAAAAAACCCATACAACCTCGGTGGTTTGGCACATGATGGTATTGTCGACTTCACGTCGAGATTTAATTTTTCGGAGTATTTCTTTATTAAGTCAGTAGTTGTTCTAAGTATATTAGTTGTAGGGCCTATTTTGACCCTTTTGTATGTACTTGCGTCCGATAAAAATTTTTGTATTTTGAAATTATACTCTGACGCGTCCATTATTAGCGTAGCATTACCTTTATCCGCGCGGAGAACCGTGAGCTCTGGTATGTTGCGTAGGTTGTACAGCGCTTTAAACTCGTCTCAAATTAATAAAATTCTTCATTTAAAACACAGCTTCTTTCTTAATTTAAAAATTTAAAGTACTTTTAGAATTTCTTCGCTCAGAAAATGAAATTTAAGAACAAAGAAATTAAAAAAAGTTGCTCTGAAACGCTGTAAAGATATAACTGAAAT